AAGTATGCAGAAATGTGCATGTGCTATAATCTTGCAAGAATGAATGATTCGTCATCTTTTCAAAGTGTGCAGAAATGTGCATGTGCTATAATCCTGCAAGACCTGTTTCTTAATGGCTGATAGCCAAACTAAGTTCGACGGTGGGCCGATGGTTGGCACTGCCGACAGTGACAGCACCTCATCCTGATCCATATTCGCCAATAATGTTGGACCATGAGGGGATGGAGTGATCACCAGGAGAATCAGAAACTCTTTCGTGTTGCCTGCAGCCCTATCTTTCACCGACAGGGTCTGCATCGGGGTTTCCCCTGTTTACATTTCAGTGTACCGGAAGAAGGGTGAGTACGAGGCTTCAAATAACCTTCTCTACCCTTTATCCCGACATCGTTTTTCTTTATCACCCGTTGTTTCTTTGCAAGGGAAGCCCCCCCTGGGTGAGAGGTTGGTCTCTATCTTATCGTAGAAACCTCTTATGTCACTTCTAGAGTCTCGTTATGGCTTTCCACCGAATGGATTTCATCCCTATCTTAACCGAAGGGCTCCAATGGATGGTCACTCGTGGCATCTTTTAATCGATATAGGCTTTTAACACCAAGATCTAATCCCCCTCGTCCTGGGACGAGGTATATGCCACATTTTCAAAAACTCGAGGCTGGTGTAGATGCCCAGTCCCATCTGTCCGGGTAAAAGGAGCCTCGTCCTCCCCCTCGTCCTCTTCATTTTCAGACGGGGCGGGGGAGGGAGTTTCTTGACCCGAAAGTACTTCCTTTTCGTGAAATACAATCTCGTTACCTTGTGGGACAAAGAACTCGTCACGGCTACCCCGGTCGTTTCGATCATCTCTTTTCCGTTTCTCTCGACCCGGTGTAACCCGATCCTCTTCCATCTTGTCAACAAGAGCCAGCTAGCGTTTTCCTTTTTCCATATCTCTTTTCTTCCCCACCTTGTGATTCCCCCTGTTTTGTCTATCTCCAATATGGGTTTCTCCAACTGTCCATCCTTCCCTTCTTTCCTTTCGTCTCTCTCTTTCTGATCGTCCCCCTTAGTGCCCTCCTTGTCTGTCTGGATCTTCTCCCACCGCATCCTGTTCCCTTTATCCGCCTCCCCCCCCTCCTTGCTTCCCTCTTTCCTCCTCCCTCCTTTCACTTCTCTGCCCCCTTGGTCTTTCCTTCCCCCTTCCTTTCCAATTCCATATCCCTTCTCTTTGACCACCTTCGCGTAGGATTTTTTTTTTCTTCGATTGGCGGTCTTCATCCCCCTCTGAGTGGAAATGCCATCTATAGGCAGGGCACCATGGAGTTTCAACGCACACCACTTTCAGTTCGACATAGCCATCCGGACCCAGGTCTATTACCAAATATCTTTTGTAAAGAAGACGGGCCGCCTAATCAAGGTCAAACCTCACATTCATAAGGTCTGGATCTAACTTATCTTTGAAGGCAGAATATTCCTTGATCAGGTCATTGCCATATGCATCACGCACTGCCCTCGGGAGGAAGCGGAGTACCTCGATCGGGACCTGCTGACACCGAATCCAGAAGAAACGGTGTCGAGCCACCTCCCTCCACTCCCAGAGTTCGTTTTCGGTCATCCACGGCCCGAAGGAAATACTATATTTAACTTTGTTGAGCTCAATTTCCGTACGGGACATTTTGAGCATAAAGGGCGCGTGCAGAACAACTCGGATGCCCCGTGGAAAGGTTGGGTGAAACATTGGTTGTGAAGGGTTGGGGACCTTTGGGATAAAGAGACGGGAAGCTGGAAGAGCATAGAGAGGATACGCACATGGTTGCGGAATTGTCATCACACCGAGGACACATTCAACGAGCTTATTGAGAGCTTCCCACTTCACTGGTACACCACCCTCAGAAAAGGCCCCTGCGTAAAGGAAGGAGACTGGGTGGGAATACCTGACCTTGAGAGGGAGGTGGGGCGTGTGCACCTTACGAGTCCATCACATGTGCTACTTGAAGTTTTCTCCATCCAAAAGGGCGATAGATTACAGTGGAATCAACAACCCTTCACATGGAAAGAGCGAAAGGGGGTCTACCGCATCAGGGTCATGGAGGAGGGATGCCTCTAGAGGGTGTACCGCCCTATGATCCCGATCAAGGACCTCCCATTAGACCCAGACGAGTGGCGATGGAGTCAAGACAACCGGGCCAGGAAAAGAGAAGCAAACATGCTGACACTTCTTAACCTTAAAACTAAATCAGCTTACCGGATGCTCAGACCTAAACGCAGACTGCGGGACCAAGTAGAAGACAGATGGTATCGTCATCTTAACATAGACCGCGGTTTGCTCAAACCTATGCGATGGTTTGGCTACTATAACTGCAGACCCGCCAAAATCTCAGCCCTGCAGCGGCAAATAGAACACAGATGTCTACCAACCAATGACTGATTGATAGTCCACACGTCTTTAGAACAACAAGGGAAAGCATTGCCACGGTGCTACAAATGCCTTCAGGGCTTCCCCGGGATGAGACGAGCGGGAACCATTGAACACATCTTTCTCCAATGTCCGGCGCCAGTACTGCTATGGAGAAGCCGGGACCAGATCTGGTGACATATTGTGCCCGGCGTGGCATGGCCCTGGGATTGGAGGGCCATACTCCTAGGATATTACCCTCAACTCCCGGGAAATGCATTCGTGGAAAATATGTTCAAATTGGGTAGGCGAAGCATTCTATGGACCATATGGTGGAGACGATGTATCCTCGAGATAGAGAGGGCACGTGTAGATGACGGGGAAACTATGGAACAAGTGCAAACATTGGTCTAACATGAAATTGCATCCCAATGGAAATCAGCTAAAGGCAGACTTGATCAGTCATACACTTGGGGGGACATGAACATGATTATATCCCGTTTCTGTAGAGACTGGCTGGGCGGGGAGAGGGAGGGATGGGTGGCTGAGGTAAAATGGTCCGGGGATTGTCGACCTGAAGAGGAACCACAAGAGGAACTTCGAGAAGGAATAGCAAGAGATTACTAGTTGACTTTTCACGATTGGATCAAGGTGGACCCTGACGACCGGCTACGACCAGCTCAGGACTTTGCAGACCCCTTCCCCCCCCACCCGCTGTCCTTGGTGGAAGCACTTTCATTGTCATAAGCGTGTGCGGCTCTGTTTCTGAGGTCTCACTGCTGATTTCAACTGCATATTATACTTGTAGCAGTTGTTTCTTTTTCTGCTTCTTTTTTTATTTTTTCTCTGCTCTAGTTTCATTGCTTCACAGCTAATTTTGCTGTTCAAGCGCCTTGAGGATAGTTGGTGGATGGTAGGAGCTGGGTGATGGAGGGAGACTCCACTAGTGCCCCCCAGTGACTCTCCCCCCCCATTGCCCGGCCTTGCTGCAGGTTAGGATTGGAAGTATGGATTGGATATGGGACGCTGGACCCGGTTTCCAGCACAAAGGCGCCACCTTCAATGATGTACTGTATTACATTGATGTATTCAAGGGACGCTGGACCCGGTTTCCAGCAGGTGATGCTCCCCGCCAATAGATGGAGCGGCCCGCCAGGCAAAGCCTCAATCCCGGTGGTTCTCTTACATCCACCAGGATAGAGGCCTTGCACATGGGCCTAAAAAAAAAAAAAAAAAAAAAAAAAAAAAAAAAAAAAAAAAAGCATCCATGTCACGACCTCTTTGATGGGGGCTATATAGGTAATCAAGTTGCGACCCTCATTATGGAATAGGCCCCTCTTCACAAGGATTGCAATTTTTGGGACGTCGTGGCCTATCCATTTTCGTAGATTCGTACCAGGCCTTTTTTAACTTCTAGTGGAACCGGCAAAGATTCGTCTCCAAACTGGATTGTCATGGCATGCTCGCGCAACCATTCGGCCTGGATTTCGTACAATTCTGGGTTGACAATTGCTTTAACATAGTCCTCTCCCTCCTCTACCCTGGATGGAGCCAAGGGGGGGGGAAGGGTCCCATCCAAATAGCATCGAGAAATAAAGCCGTGAATGCGCTGTTTCTCTTCCGGCGAGCTAGACCGGAGAGGCCTTGGTGAAGCCATGTGGATGCAACCAGGCAGTGATAGCCTTAACACTTCAAATTCTAAACCTTAAAAAAAAAGGAAAGGAAGAACGCCCCTATCGTGGTATTAAATACCTACTTAAGTCGAAGCTTCCAATAAATCGGGATAAATTATTACTTTCTTAGAATAACCGTGGCATCCCGACAGAAGAGTGAGACTGGGGATGGAATTAGATTATACCTGCATGTCTTCTCCTCCATCCAGCAGGGTGGAAACTTCTCCAGTTGAAGCTCATCCCTCCTTTAGCCTTCTTCCATTCAGCACGGCTTGATAACTCGAGAAGCCCATAAGGCTGGACATGTAGAGATGATTGTGGCCTTTGAGTCTCCACCCCTCCTCGAATATTCTTCTTCTGAGGGTTGATCCTTCATTCCATGTCAACTCTTCCTCCATCCAGGTCCAAAGGTAATCATGATAGCATCCACACATCTTAGGTCATTTATCCACGCCTCAAGGTGGCCCTATCCCTGTCCTAATCTTGCTTGGCGGAGCTTAACGTAGGCAAGAATTTTAGCGCAGGATTTTAGCGCAGGATTAGCCCTCCACCAGTCAGATACATTTACGGAAGTGGTAGTGTGAGGCTGTAAGGCAGAAAGGCATAATTGTTTTGACGTTTCCTAAATTTTCATTCCGTGAGCGCAAACGAATTTCCCTAAAACCTTCCCGATGCACTCCTTGGCCCCTAGAATTTCGGCACTCACCTGAGCCCTAAAGAATAAACAATGTTTTTCACTGTTCGCGAAGAATAAACAACGTTTTTCACTGTTGGCGAAAAACCTCCCAGCATAAAGGGGCTCGTAAGACACTCCTCGAGGCGTCCTCGGGCTTCGAGGGAAAATCCTCGGGAGCGCCCGAGGATTTTCCCGCTTTCGTTCCACTCGTCCCTCAGGACGATCCCCGAGGATGCTCCGAGGACTGGCCGCGGGGAGTCGTATAATTGTATACGCGGCTGCGGGAGGAGGTTTTGGGCGGCGGTCCACCGTCTGGTGTCCGTGTGGCCGGCCTTGGTCCACCGCGTATGGGCGTCGAATTTGAAAAGGGACTCCCGCCACCGCGGGAAAAGAAAACGCGCGCGCGCGCGTGTGATTTCAAAATTCGAATTTTGAACCGAACAGCATGGCGTCTGGTGTAGCGGCGTGGGGAGGTGCGCAGGGGTGTTGCAGTGGCCGTCATGCGGATGACGTTGTAGCCGTATGGGCGTCATCACAAACTTCCACACGTATTATAAGATGTGACGCCCCCTGCGCCGTGTTCCACCTTGCATGCTCGTGTTTGCACATTCTGCCGCCACCGCCATCTCCACGAACTTCCACTCCCTGGCCAAGGACCACTGGTGGCGGCGTTGTGTCGTGGTTCGGGCGAGTTCTGTCGGCATGGATGACAATGATGTCTTCTGTAGTAAATGTGCGTTCGGTCGGTGATGGGGATGAGGGAATGGTTAGGTTGTCTGTTTTGGAGAGGGCTGCAGTGAGGTCTGTCGTCGCCGCCGTCATCATGCGTTGCGAGATGGAGGTCGAAGGTGAACGGCTGACGGCACGGCTACGAGCGCGAAGAAGGAAGGTGATGCAAGTGCCGGCGTGTGAAGGATTCGATAGCGTCGCCGTTTGTGACGCCGTGTTTGAGGTGTGCTGTCTTGGGTGTGGGGGGCTGCCGAGGGCGACTCCGAGGTGGTGGATGAAACGGAGGACGGGGGGAACCTGGGAGGATCTTCGTCCTGCAGACGATGCCACTGAAGAGTACTTCTGCGATAAATTATGGATAACTCCACGTGTCTTCCGCGAGATCGTTGAAAACTTGTCGCCGATTCTCCAGCGACGTGTGACGTTCTACAGAGAGCCTTTGCAGCCAAACCACATCGTCGCTTACGCGCTGTACAGATGGGCGTTTGGCGAGACGTACGAGAGCAGCAGCTGCAGCTTTGGAATTGGCAGGGCTTCGGGTTAGGTGGTTATCTGGGACGTCACTGCTGCTCTGCTGTCGGTGTACAGGGAGAAGGTGGCGTGGCCGACAGGGGTGCGGAAGGCGGTTGTCAACGTGCTTTTGCAGACAAGGGTTTCCCCAACTGCCATGGGTGTATCGACTATACCCATATCTTCATCGACAAGCCGGCGAACGCACCTCCAGAAGACTACTACGACCACAAGAGACGATTCTCTGTCGTCGCTCAAGTTGTGGTGGACTTGGACTTGTGCGTGCTCGATGTGCTCGTGGGTTATCCGGAAAGCTGCCACGACTTTCGGGTCATTCATCTGTCCAGTCTATGGTCGCGTGCGGCGGCGGGGTAGTTGTTCACAGGGCCTCCTGTGCTGGTACCGTTCCATGTGCAGACGAATGGTTATCTGCTGGACAACAATGGTTACCCGCCGAGCGAATGGATAGTTGTCCCTTACGGCGGCACAGTGCAGACTCCATTCGAGACCCATTTCGACAACAAGCAGAAGACCGCAAGGGGGGCAGTGGAGAGGGCCTTCGGGAGACTGAAGGGAATGTGGCGGTTGTTTATTCGCTCGCACAAGACGAACATGGAGACCTTGCCGCAGCAGTTCATGGCCGTCTGCATTTTACAACATCCTAATCGACGCCGGTATCTCTTTCGATGACAACTTGCTGTAGGAGGTGGACGCGAATGGAGTTCGCCGTCGAGTGGATCTCCGGATCCCGCGCCCCCCAAGGCCCTTGGGCATAGAAACTTCTACGGGGGAGGCGATCATGCTGCGCCAGGCGCCGACAGAGCGAATGACGCAGCGATGAGCGATGTCGGTGGCCTGGCGTAGGTGGAAGAGCGTTCGATGGCGGTGTTAGAAGGAAGCAGTGTGCGGAGAGATGATGGAGACGATGGATGTGTCTCGGGGCGAAGAGCGGAGAACGTCCAGATTTCCATCTGTGACTAGTCTTCTTTTGCTTTTTTTTTTTTTTTCATTTTTGTGGATCCGCGCCATCAGATTTTGAGGTCCGTAGTGCTCTTTTCCCAGCTTATGCCCAAGCCACAGGGCGGCAGATGCGGTGGCGGCGGCCGATGAGTGTTCTGTTTCAGTCGTGTCGATGTCTGATTGGGGTGTTGGTGTGACACAGACGGCCGATTAATGTGCTTTTTCAGTAGGCGGCGGCAGACGGGTGTGCTGTTTGAGTCGTTTTCGACATTTTTCAAAGTGCAAGGGCGTACACAATGTGTTTGTTTAATGAATGACAAGGATTTCATGATTTCATTTTGCTTTTCGGTGGTTTTTAATCATTGTCGTCTACTGTTTTCGTCCACGTGAAGAAAAAAACATGATTGCGTAGTGAGATGACGGCGTCCAATGGGACGATGACGATGTGAATCACAGCAAGCAGTTGAGAACAACATTCAATTTTTTTATTCTGAAGTGCACAAAGTGCACATGTCGCCGTACATTTGTGTGCGCTGAATCATTCATGCAATCTTCGTGGAAGTGTTGTCATTGCTTTATTGGTGACTGTGTATGGATTTACATCACGCTATGAAATCATCAATCTCTTAGATTCAATTCAAGCACATTATCAACAACACCTTTACAGAAAAAGCAGGAACAAATCTTCAGCAACGACGACAAATTAAAGATGAAAAACAAAGAATAAAATAACATGACGACGATACAAAAGGACCATTCGCAGTAGCATACGAAAACACATCTTCACAAATGATGCGCATACACATGATGCACATTCATCACACTGGAGTCTGGAGGATGAGAAACCCCTAAAACGAAAAGAAGTGCATCTAAACATCACGTCAATGCGTCGTTCTTCACGCATGGTGCTCACCCATTCATGGCAACTAGTATCACACGACGACAGAACGTCAGACAGAGGAAGCAGAAGACGGTCTGCAAAAGGAGTGCATACGTTTTTCACGCATCGCTGCCGGCGTCCCTAAAACGAAGGACGAGGGATGATCTGTGTTTTGAGGGCGGGCGAGGACAAAAGAGGACGCGTGGACGTCCGTCATCATCCATGCACGTGGCCGTCGCCATCGCCGCTGTTCCACCGTACGGAACGTCCACGTGGGCCGCAACCGTCTGCTCTTCAATGACTACGCGCCGCCCACCCCAACCCCCCCCCCCCCCCCCCCCCCCCCCCCCCCCCCCCCCCCCCCCCCCCCCCCACAAGCCTGCGACCCACCCTCCACCTCCACTTCCAGAGACGTCATCTGCTCGGCGCACATCATTTGTGAGATCCATCCTGGCTCTTAACGCGCCACGGCATGTGTCCTCAGCGTTCGGCAAAGCGCGGCGCCGACAAGAACCACGTCTGCCTCTCCAAGCACCTCCTCAGGACTACGTTCACGGCTCTCTGCCATCGTCCTTCTCGTCTTCTTCGTCATCGACGTCAGGCGGTCCTGTCCCTAACCAATCTAGTCTCCTGGCGTGTTCAGGAGTCGTCAACGTCGCGTCGTTGTAGAACGTAACCCCACACGATACCCAGTCGGGGATGTACATCGGAGGGTCGACCAACGTCATGGGGGGCTTCCCCATTTTCTCCGTCACTGCGTTCACACATTGGAGAACATGGCGGCGCGCGTCGAAGGAGCGATGTAGCGACGCAATGAGCGTCAGTTTCGCAATAAGCTCCACGAGATGAGACGCCTCATAGTGGGAACGGAGATTATCTCCCGCCATCCGCATCACCCACATGGCGGCAGACAACAAAAGGCGCATGTCGTGTGCCACATTCTTCAGCCTGTCGTACGATATCCGCCCGCCGTCTACACCCTCCCACACATCGACAGCGTTCGTGAAAGCTCCCACCAGACGCTGCGTTGTAGACTCCTGATACGACGCCATCTCATCGTCCTCGTGCCTGTCCTGTATGACGCCACCTACGAACCAGATGGGAAGCTTCATTTGAAGCTCCAAAGTGTTATGGACAACCGCCGGACTCACACATACCCGCCAGTTCTTTCCATACCAGATGGCGCGGGCGAGATCTGTGGCGACGTGGTTGAGCACATAGCCGTAGGAGCAGTGATACCCACGCGCGCGACTGGGGGACTTGAAGATCCACCCATGGATGATGTGTAAAGCGATGGTCTGCACCCAGGACGCCCTCTCCTTGGCGGCCCCCAACTCCGACTCGTCTTCCAGCTTCTGTAGAGGGATCGTGGAGTTTGGCATGACGACGGATTTCCTGATCTCAGGCGGCTTCACACCCTTGGCAATGGAAACGAGGTATAAGCGCGTCTCCTGGATGATCTTGAACATCCCGTGGCCCTCCGTTTCGTTCCAGAAACGCAGATCGTTCACGAACAGTCTTGCTTTCACCTCCAAACTTGGCGGAGCGACGGAGCGCCTCTGCCTGTTGATGAGGGGATCGTCGTCAGCAGCATCAACACGGTCGTCGCCACCACCGCCCCCCACGCCCCCCGCCGATGTATCTCCACCGCCAGCCACCACTACGGCATCCTTCGCGGGATTTCGCATGGTCACCTGTCCCCTCGCCGCCGCAATCGCCGCCGCCCCTTCATCCCTTCGAGCCTGTCCTGATGCGGGCGTCGCCGGGTTTGAAGGCGCCCGCATTGGCGCCTGTCTATCACTTTCTTGGGCGACGTGGACGTCCTTCGACGAGATGGTGTTGCGCATGGCAGGGGTCGCCTGCTGCCCGCGCTCGTCCCTGCCTGGAACATCGCCTTCCATGTCGCCGCCCCCCTCATCCCTGGCACGCACAACCCCACGAGCCCCATCTTTACCACCGTCGACGCCTTCCACCTCGGTCACCATTCGCGTGATGGACTGTTCACGCAAGGTCCCTTTCCTTCCGTGAAACGTCTCCTCCCCGGTTTCGAAATCGTCATCCTCTCCGCTGCTTGCCTTCGTCACCCAGTCTTCCCGCGGGGACCTCCTGATCACCAGAGCCCGCCGCGTGATGCCTTCGCCTTCTTCGCTTGATGTCTCCCCCACTTCAAGGTGCCGACAGCGTTCGTTTTCTGCTCATCCCTCCCCCGTTTCGCCTTGCTGGAGTTGCAAGTATTCGTCATCGGCGACAAGACGGACACCGATGATGGCGAAAGGCGGATGGACATGACTGCAAACGACAGAGACCTTGTCGCCCAGATCTTCTGAATATGAAGGCGACGACGACTCTATGAGGTGATGGATGACGCGTAGATGTTCTGAAGTGATGGGCGATGCGCATATGTTGTGAAGATGACGACAATGATCTTCCGAAGATGACTGACATGATGAATGATGCGCAGATCTTTTGAAGACGACGGCGATGAGAAATCTATGACGTCAACACGGCTACGACAACGACGCTGAACCGATCGCCATCAAAGACGACCTCTCGAAAAGAGGGAAGGGCGAGAACGATGGCGGCGAGAGAAGAAGGCAGGTGCAGTCTGAACTCGAAGATGACACCTTGTGAGCAATGCCGTGTGGCAGACTTTCCCATCTACCACTCTCGTATAGCCTTCGCTATTTCCAGCAGCACCTGACACATGAGCTTGCTAACTTCATTAGACGCAGCGCAGTGTTGCTTCTGGACCTCCACCTCCGCTTCCATAGCTTCACACTGCCGAATTTGAATGGAGCATTGCCTCTTGCTCGCGCTCTCCATCGTGTCGCATTGCCTCTTGCTCGCGCTCTCCATCGTTGACTCCATCAACGCCCCATGCTTGTCCATGCACTCGCTCAGGGCCTCGAATGTCTGTTGCCGCACGTTTTTCCTCTTTCCGAAACCGGCCGGACTTGCAGGCGACTCTGACCCCCCCCGCGCTGAGTTGTCGTCTTCGTCGTTGCCTTCTCCCGCGGCATCCCCGTCCCCCACAGATTCTAGAGTCGCCGACTGTGCAGATGGGAGTTGCACACCTCCTGCGCCACCGGTGTCTGCAACATTGGTGGGGATGATAGTGTGGCTCCTCTTCTTCACCCCTTTGATCTCCTCGTAGACGGCCCGATCCATGTTGAAGCTGAATCCTTTATCTCCCCTTTGCTGACTTGTCAACTGGAAGAAGTCCTCCTTCCTCGACATGCCCATGAAATTGTGGATCTTTTTGAATTGTTGCATGAGGTTATCCCATTTCTTCCCGCATTTGTCTGCCGGTCTGTCAACACCGACCTTCAACAACCTCTCCCGGACGTCCGCCCATTTCCACTCCCTCGAACGCATCCGTGTGAATGCGTGCCCTTCCGCTTGCAGCTGGGCGTCCTTATCCCCCTTCGCCCTTATAAGGGCCACCATGTGTTCCACAGATCAGAAATTCCGGCCACCCTCCCCATCCCCCTCACCTTCCACATCACTTGCAGTCGCCGACGACCTCTTCCGCCCTCGCCCAGTAGTCGTGGAAGCCCTGCCTCTGCCGCCCCTGCCTCCCATGTTCGGCGCACGCAACGGGAGCACGTCACCGCTGACGTCGTCCTCAGCGTCGCACTCAATTTCGTCACCGTCTGTCCACACGTCCCCACCCCCGCCAGGCCCGTCTGCTCGCGCGCCCTGATCGCCCACACGCAATCGCTGCACACCTTGCGTTATTGACTCTTCTCGCTGTCGCCGCAACTCCTGCCTCGAGTCCTTCCACACCTGCCTGCCATCTCCATGCGCGCCCTTGAAAGGGAAGTCTTCCTGAGTCACACCCCGTTCAACGGCACGACGAACGTCGTCGCGGCCCTCGGACAACGCAGGCGGGGTTAGGTTCATCCACACAGGACGACCGCCGGTGCTGCGTGGAACTGACGGGGCACAACTCGCCTGCACTCTAGGCCGCTCCCTCGTCCTCTCCGACGTCTCCTGAGGCACAGTACCACCCCTCGTGGCCCTGCCGACCAATGTCACCTGTCCCGCGTCGTCGTCAGGATAAGGGTTGACGATCATAGTGCGCGTCGCTGAAGATGGGCTCCCGCTCCGCAGGCCAAATGTGAGATCCACAAGGGGGAGGCATTCGTCCTCCTGGGCACCTTCATGGAGGAGGGACGTGTACGACTGCTTGTACTTCGTTCCGCGCCGATCATACAAGTGGCTACCCGTCCATTCCTGGGTAGACCCGCTACCCAGCGGAACTGTCGTCTACACGTCTACGTCCGCCTCCCCCTCATCCGAATCGGGCAGAGGTTGCAAGTGAGGCGGGAGTCCTTCGTACAGTGATGAACCTGCCGCCCTTCTGTCTACACGGGTACAGATCGCAGACCGGTGGCTGGGATAAGTGTCGGACAACGTGGTAAGATTCGGCCGCCGCCCGTCCATGGCCACACTCTTCCTCGCCCCTAGTTTCCTGCGACTACGTGAGGGCAACCTCCCCAATATGCACACCTGAACAAAGACGACAACGATAAGCAGAATCACGACGAGGAGGAGCACCTGCAGCCTGCGGAACACGTCGGCCATGTACGACAACCGTTCTCATACGTGCAACTAACGACGACAACGCACGACAACGTAACGGCTACCCAGACGGCGGCAAACAGCAGACGGCAAGTGACGACTGATGACGCCCTCACGCGCTTTACATTGCGGACCACTGCGCGTGGTGACGGACCTACGCCACTCTGATTTTCGAAACGGCTGACCGTTGGAGGCCTTTCCGTTTTCTTGCCGGCGTGGGCGAGGGCCTGGGTTCAACCGGAAACGTCCATGGGCCCCGTCCGCCACCCAACCTTACCGTTGCCGTTGTTCCCACCGGAGTCGAACGTTGCCAGCCGCAAATGTCCGCCCACACCTCGGCTGGACCACCATTGTACCAGACTCCGAAATTTTCACATCGTCGAAGGCTGCCGCCGCCCTCCCGATTTTCACGGAAACTCGCACTCCGAGGGACCTCGCGACGTACCTTGGGGAACGCAGCCATTTGCCTGTAGCCCGAGGACGGCCCGAGGACGCCCCGAGGAAATGTTTTCACATCGGTTTCGAGGGAACGGTCTCCGAGGATAGGTGGAGCGATCATTTCCTCGGGGTTTTTTAGCGCCCGAGGAGTGTCCAACGAGCCCCAAACTCACTCACTCTTGTCGCCCACCCTGCAGGTTCATGCCACTCAACTCATTGTGGCGAAGCCGCAAAACAAAAAGGTTCATGCCACTCAACTCATTGTGGCCAAGCCGCAAAACAAAGCCTAATGAGTGGTCCTAGACATTATCCATATATAGCAAAGAGCACCCATTCCAGCCCAGGCCCAGTCCCACTGGAGCTGGCCCAAGTCCTGGCCCAATCCAGGAGCCCAGGTAAGATCCCATTCTGATCTGCAGACTGAAGAACGGAATTACCTCCGAAAGTTAC